GTCTGGCATTTTGCTGAGAAGTCTAGCACCCTTTTTTCAGAGTACATAAAAATGCACCTCCGACAGAAGCGGGAAGCCTCAGGCTACCCCGCCTGGTGTTACGACCAAGAAAAACAAGAGAGATATGTGGCCAATTTCTTGCAAAAAGAAGGCATAACCTTACGCCCAGAGCATATTAAACCCAACCCTGCAAAGCACCAAATAGCAAAATTGTTTCTAAATTCTTTGTGGGGTAAATTCGGGTAGAGAACCAACTTGCCCAACATCAGCATTGTTAGAGACCCCGAAGAACTCTTTGGCTACTTCTTTTTTCCCACCTATGAAATTTCATCTTGTGACTTTAATGATGATGAGGCAGCCTGTGTGTCTTGGAAACATGCCAAAGAGTGTTACACTGTCTCTGGTAACACAAACATCTTTATAGCCTGTTTCACCACATCTTATGCACGCTTAGAGCTGTATGAGCTGTTAGACAGTTTGCAAGACTGGGTCTGTACCATGACACAGATTAGGTGATATTTATGAGCCACAAGGGAGATTGGAACCCCCCGCTAGGCAATTATTTAGGCGAGCTCACCAGCGAAATCCCACCAGATGTACACATCACAGAGTTTGTGTTGGCTGGTCCAAAAACCTACGGGTACAAGTTGTCTGGGGGAAAGTTTTGCTTGAAGGTCAAAGGGATTACCCTGAATGTGGCCAACAGTGAAAAAGTCAACTTTGAAACCTTGAGAGATCTTGTTCTAGATTATGGGGCAAACCCTGCTGTGGACACCCCTAAAACAATTGTGATACAACAGTGCTCTATCGTCAGGAACAAAAGCAAGTGGACGATAGAAACTAAACCCTTGAGAAAAACACAGAATGTTATTTATGACAAAAGGGTCCTCACAGAATACTTTAACAGCCTCCCCTATGGTTTTTAAACATGGATATGCATTGGAAGCACCCCTTTTCTGTGATTTTGGCAGGCCCTAGCAACTGTGATAAAAGTTACTTTATAAAAAACCTTTTGGATCGCGCTGATAAAATGTTGTCTGTTATGCCCGAGAATATGCCTGAGAATATCGTGTGGTGCTATAGCTGTTGGCAGCCTTTGTATAAAGAACTGCTTTGTAAATATCCTTTTATCAAGTTTGTGAAAGGTCTACTGGACAGTCTCAACAACTGTTTGTTTCCTCCTAATAAAATAAATTTGGTTGTAGTAGATGATTTGATGGACTCTGCCTGTGACAGCAGCGAAATCGAGAAAGCCTTTACGAAGTATGCGCACCATCGGTATCTGAGCATTATGTATATAGTTCAAAATGTTTTCTGTCAAGGGAAAAGGAGCCACACGATTGCCCTTAACACAAAATACATGGTTTTGTTTAAAAAACCCAGGGATAAGCCACAGATAGTGTCCCTGGCGAAGCAGATGTACCTGGATAAGGTCCAGTTCTTTCTAGAAGCTTTTGAGGATGCCACTAAAACACTTTATGGGTATCTGGTGGTTGATTTAAATGCTTCTACCCCGGATGCTTTTAGATTAAGAACAGAGCTTTTTCCTTCTGACCAACTGGCTGCTTACACTTTTAAAAAAACAGCGAGTGGGAATAAAAAGAGATGATGTAGCTGTGGCCTCTTCTTAGCTCTCAAGACGGTGGAAGGGGAACATGTCTAGCCATGTAAAAAGAAATTTGGCTGTCTTAAAACTGCTTCTTCAATCCACCCCACAGCAGAGAAAAGCTGTACTCTGCTTGGCCTCTGATGATTTTGTAGCGGTCATTTCAGAAATTGCTCTGAACACCTTAAAAGGAAACATCCCTTTGACACCGCATCAAATTCGCGTGCTGAAAAAGAGACACGGGATCATAAAAAACCTAAGTAACAAAAGATTACCTCTTAAAAAAAAGAAACAGCTGGTGAAACAGTCTGGGGGATTTATTGGACCTCTGCTAAGTTTTGCTCTTCCTCTGATTCCGGGGCTTTTGGCTAGCCGGTGATGGAGCACACAGAAAAAATGTACCTGGTGCCCAAACATGAGCTGGAACAATTAAGGGCTCCCCCATCACCTCAGGAAAATATCAGAACTGAGGCAACATGGATGTTGAAATGAGGGATATTCTCATAGTGTCTGCTAAACCCAAAGACTGGGTTTAGCAGAATATGATAAGGCTAAACTGTATGCATCCGTGCTTCAGAAATACCTGACCAATGTAAAGCAGGGTGATCTGGACAGAGGGAAATTAACCCTATTTCTGCTGGAACAGACCCCCCTAGAAGCTGGATACCACCTAGAAACCCCCACAAACCTGACACAGTCATTCAGGAAGTACTGGATAATGTACATCCCTGATACAGGAAAAATGCTAAAGTACTGCTCACTAAGCTGAGCCAGCACAAGGATATTTCTTCTTGGGATGATCAAGGGGGTTTCATCTACAAAGGGATGCTCATCAAGGGGTCTAACATTCTCAGCTTGGTCCGGAGAACCCTTCAGACTCATGCCGGGACTACTAAACGTCCGCCTAAAGGCTGGGACATCTTTATGAAAGTCATAGCCGAGCTGAACGTACCATCTTCTGTTATGGGCAATGTCATGAATTGTGATCATCTGGAATGCCTGAAAGTATCTGCCTCAGATCAAGAAACACCAAAAACACTGCTTAAGAAGTTAAAAACTGTCTCTAAAAGCCATTGGCTCTCCATGTAAAGTTTTACGCTTTGAAATAAACTATTCTATACTGCTATAAAGTTTTTGTCTAGGGAGGATTTTTTGAATGAAAACACATACACACACATTTAAATAACAACAGCTTTATTTACACAACATCCGCTGAGTGTTTTATTTAGACAAAGCATTCGTGAAAGTCATAGCAAGAAATACATGTCTGGGCATGTCGAAACATGTTTTGAGCAGGCCCAGCCACACAGAATTTTTATATTTACTTTTTACAAAATGCATCACCACTCTATCATTTTGTGCTAAATCGTCAGAATAATACAATTTTAAAATCTGTTCAAACGATAGCCCCTTGATACAGTGGTGTAGGAAAACACAATATGGTATCTGTAGGTGACAGACTGGGGGTCTTGTAACTGTTTCATCTGAAAAACAGTGTCGGTAGCATTCTTGTTTAAAAACAACATAATGCTTTGAGGAAAGAGAGCGCTGTTTGGGGGGTGACCGTACGAGTCAAAAAATTGTCTGCGGTTCCGATCCTCCAAGTAAACAGCCAACCAGTGTTCTCCGGGTTGATTATGCGGGTGTGTGTTGACCTCCAAGCTCAGGGGCCTTTTAAACAGTCGAGTCTTAGGAAGCCAGTCACAGGGGAAAACATCTAAGACAGTTTCTTTGGCATAAGGGTCTGAGGATAAAACCCTGGCAAGCTGTTCAGTGTCCATCTTCACTTATAGTCAAACAGGACATTTCTCCTATGATTTATTTCTATGATGTTGTCAAAGACCCTGTACACGTTCATGTTAACCGTGGTGGGCAAAGCCACAGCAAAGTGTATTTCTGCTCTCAGGTTCCTGGTTTTAATCAGCGAATAATGATCAGCACACTCCTGGTCAGGGGACAGGTCAAAGGCAAATAAGATGTACCCCAGAACAAACTCCTCATGGTTGATTATCAGGGCCCTGTTTTTTGTATGTTTACCAGCTGTCTGTACAAGCTGCATGTATTCTCTCATGCAGTTACCGTTCTCAAAATCTGGTTGTAGGGGCTTTGTCGGGGTTTGTTCTCCATTGACGTAGAGGGCCACAAAATTAATATTGTAATGTTTAAAGTTAAAGGGGTTCTTAGCTTAATTCCCACTAAAGGCATCATTATCCACAAACCTGATGGCGATGAGTTGGGCAACTGCCCCAGAAACAGATTCTCCTAGTTGCTGACGCGGCTGCCAGCAGGAATGCTAAACACTTTCATACTCATGCGGTCTATGGGTTATTTAGCATTGGCTGTAAGCAAGGCCTCCGCGTGGCCCAGTCGGACACCCGGTGCTACCTTCACTTTTTTCACAAAAAGTGAGGCAGATGTGATTTTTAGTTTACAGGGGCCAGCTGCTGTGGTACCCATCAAGCAGAAGGCATCTTTGCTGCGTGTTAGCTTAATTTTCACATCCACGCCATTCAGCAACAGTTTTTCTTGAAAAAACAAATCACTATGGAGATGACCAAGCAGCTCTATCATTTTGCTCCGGTCTGTCAGGTTTGCCCACCTCCGAAACCCCTGATTATCACCATTCCGCACAACAGTTTCATGATGGCCAGCGGTATCTTTGTAAAACAGACTGGCA